CCTCTGTAAGGTGGCATTAACATTGGATGAAGCGACGAAACGATTAGAGAGCCAGAAGCGGCAGGATATCGCTTTGCTGGCATAAAACGAACAGGTCCAGCGAATTCGTCCATGGAGGCTCCCAGGCCCTTAATTAGGGTGTTCTCCATGACCCCGTCGTCTTGTAATTGGACGTCATTATCCATCATATAAAATCACGTGGTTTGTCTTCAAAGGCGGCGGGCAAGATGGTTGGGGCCGGGCAGTGCTGAAAATGTCATTGAGGTTATGAGAGGGGGTTGGCCACACCCACTCCGCCCCTCCACCAATGGCGTTTCCAGCAAGCGCCCGCCCCCAGACATCGCTCTAACTGCCTATAGGTGAATAATCGGGGATAAATTACCATTACCAACCATCAGCAAGAGCAATATCCACGGTCTCCTCGGGCATCTTCCACTGATTGCCGTCTATCTATACTGAGCAGGAGTCTCGTAATGATTGTTTTACCTTCGGGAGCTTGTTGGATCCCTGAACCATTGATGGAAAGTATTCTGTATGCAGTAGACAGATCTTCTGCAAAGTTTTATGACTAAATTGAGTCGTACCATCGATCACTGCTTCAACATATTCTTTCTTAGACATTTCCGTTGTGGTTTTAGGAGTGGACCTAAGCTCCAAATAAACCACGCCATCATCATAGAACTCCTGGATCACATCTTTTGTCGCCTGAACAAATCAAAGGTAGCAAGTTTGAATACAAGTTGAGATGAACAGTCAACTTAGATCTTATAAGGCTGCGTTCATACTTTGCGGCAGCGTCCGTCAGCGACCAATGCCGTTCCAAGCGTCAGCGACTAGGGAAGTATAGAAATCGACCTAGCACCAGCAGCGTTTACCAGAGACCATCAGCGTCCACCTGCGACCAAGAACGTCTCGAGGGTAGGGAATTATAGATATCCATTTAGCGATCAGCAGCGTCTCAGCGTCTACCAGAGCCCAGAAGTAGAGTGTGTGGGGCGATAGGAAGCAGCAGACGACTGGTCAGGTACGGGGGACAGAAGGGTAGCAGTCTGCTAAATATAAAGAGTATGGGGTACAGGAGGGAACCAGATGTCTGCTCCCTCTTACCGTCCCATACCCCCACTTCCAGACGCTGCCGGTCGCTGGTAGACGCTGCTGGTCGCTAGATCGTTACATATACACAATGCTGGTGGGCGCTGCCGCAAAGTATGAAGCCGCCCAAGATAAGACTATGAAGCATACCAAAATGAGGGCCTCTCGTGATGTTGTCAGCGACTGTATCAAAGGAAAGATCTTGAAAACTCTGAAAAACGAAAGTATTATTTTGAACCGCTGAATACATGAATTTAGCCCTAAACAGGGCCGCAAGTTCAAGAATATGTCATATAGGGCATATTCATTGCTTACTGACTCCTGAATGAGCCAACGTGTTCCCTGTTTGTACTTATCGCGACCCGGGACAATCGACGTTTCTAGAGAATTGGTGTTTTTGGAGGAGCAGCGCTTGAACGAATGAGACTGTCAAACTGCACACCCCTCAATGGATCTTGGTCCTCATACCCGAGTACTCCATACGGGCTATTGTCAAGATGCAGCACTTGTGCTGATACCAAGGTCTCGCAGCGAAACACACTCGACGACAGAAAACAAGCAGAAAAAATAGGGCGCAGACAAGCAGCGCATCTGGCTATGGTTAAGCATGTGGCTGGCCGTGCGGCAGCGTGGGCGAAGTATGGAGACAGCACTCGGGTACTACTTCCCTACTGCCCCATTCCCGTGCACTTTTGAAAGAAGAAAGTGAGACGCTACCGCAGCTGCGGACCCTCGTACATGGCAAGGACCGTCCTCGGAGACAAGTAGACAGTTTGCCCTTAAGGGAGCTGGCAGGATGGCACAGCGTGGGCAGCATTCGGACCTCGATATGAGGTCATCGATGTGATGACAGACTGACAGAGAGCAAGGCTGAGGGGTGTTTGAAGAACTCATGCAGTCCAGAGGTAGGCCCGCTTCAATATGGCGATATGCGCTCGTCAGTCATGTGAAACAGCTGCCATTGCTGCGGAACCAATCTTCAAAATGCCGCCTCTGCCCGTATGAGCCAACCGTGGACGGCATTTGAGAAGCAGAGCACGTGCTGTTGGGGAAAATTTTGCAAAATACAATGGCCTGCCCCTCCGACCACAGCGACCCCAGTCCCTTCGCTGGGGATTCCTACTGTACGATATGCCCTATTGGGATGGACGGGATAGACTTGCCTTCCGCTAGTGCTCACATGAAAAGTGAAGACGAGACATATAAGTACTCACAGTCAATATCTTTGCAAAAGAGAGGGCATGTGAGGGAACGTGAACTTTAGCGCAGCCACGACAGACTTTTCCACAAGTTGATGCAGTCCCTAGACGAATATTTGGGGGAGGCTGCCATGGCTGCGCAATAAGCCACGCCCCTCAACACGCTCTCTCCCGAGAGACGGGCAAGAGAATCGTAATTTGCCGCTCCGCGTGCGCGGCGATGGGCGCGGCGTTTTCTTAACTCGTGTTAACCTGTCGATTGGAGCACCGGACTTCATGTAGACCCCGTCATCGTAGACATTCAGACTATTTGTGGTTTCTTGAATTGCCTGACACGGCCATCTACGACTCGGACCATAGTCATCTCTCGGCGCGGATCGTCGGCACGCGGACGCCGCCCAGCAGCGGCGAGTTGATCCTTCTATGTCACATACCCTCTCTCCTTTGCAGGGACAATGACTGCAATCTTGATAGCACTGGTCGTTCTGCGACGCGGTGAAGGCAGCGTCAAGCCACTGAAAATATGAACGCTTTCTTAATTCGAAAAAAAAACTCACCTCATTCCGATTGTGGTCGGTTCGTTGTCTGAGAAGTGAAGGATTCTCTCGGATTTCCCTTCACCATTTTTGTGGATGCTGACCGTCCATCACCGTTTCAAAGATCGCAGTTTTTCTATCGTGTTCAACGATATGCTACCATTTAGATGGGCGTGCAGCTCCTGGAAAAAAGTAATGAAAATATATAGTAATTAATGTTGAAGAGGACACTCTCTAGCCCTCAGTGGCGTCTCTGAGTGTACAGGTGGATGAGTACTCCTCAAATAAAACATCATAGGCATTCAAAGGTATCGGATAGAAGCACGTATGCCATTTGCTGCCCCACTGACCAGTGATAAAACTCATAATATTTTTTATCGGAATCTTTCTTCGGGCACAGAAGGCCCACCCTACTTAAGCTGGCAGTTTGCAGCCGAAAACGATTATTAGACCCGTTCGACATGGGAGCGCCTGGTGTCAGCTCCAATAGGAATGTGGCGCTTTCGCGAGTTTTCACTTCAAAGGTTGTGATGTTCGTAGTAGAGCTCAAACGGCCTCCAATGAAAAACATCTGGTCATCCCATGGGACAAACTTCGAGTAAGCATCAAGAGAGAATCTTCCAGACAGTGAGGATGGTGAGACCAGTGCTAAAAAACCTTCACGCTTTCCTTCCATCCAAGATCCGTCGTCTTCTGTTTTCAAATCCTAATGTTAAGCCAAACAGCCGATGTCTAAAGGCAGTTGGCACGCGATGCTTCTAAAGACCAGTTGGCGATTAATACGCCTCGGCAGTACTGGTTCCGTGCCCCTGATCTGCCCTGCGCAGAGCCTTTCCAAAGGCAGGGCACCATATAGTGCGACCTACCAAAGCGAGCCAAGCATTACGACCCGGACACCCCAGCGCCCGGCCCGCCGCCATAGAAATGGACCGACGCTGCCTGAGCTCGTATCTTTTCTATTTGCCTGAGTGAGGACATGAAGAGAAAGATTGATACGAAGGCGACCGCAGTGCTGCTTGATACATGACTGCATGAGACGCAGCCTTTATCTACGTAAGCGGCCTATTGGAACGAAAAAAGCTAACGGGAAACCCGTCCAGAATTGCTTTCTGAACCATGTAGAACAAATGCTTTTTGGAATTTTTTGACCGTTTTACTTCGCCTTTTCGTTACTTTTTCTCGCAGTTAACCCTGCCTACCATCTTAGACGACAAATATCCTGCCTCACTTTAAAGGCAGTTGGCACGATAAATCCCCCAAGACGACTAGGATCAATACTCCTGGCAGGATAGAATTCCGCGACCCTGGGCAGGCGCTGCATAGCGGTTTCCCCGAGGAAGGTGCCCTTATAAGGGCCCTATCAAGCCACAACTTTACGTCCCAAACGCCCGCCACGCCCGCCCGCCCACAAATGGACGACCGTTCCTGACGCTCGTATTCATTCATTTGCTAAGCAAATTATGAAGCGAAGGGATTGGTATGAAGCGGCCGTGATGCTGCATGCATATGGGTACACATATGCAGCCGTATCTTCGGTAGCGGTGATTGGTAAGATGCCTACGGGAAACTCGTCCGAAATCGATTTACAAGTCACTGAGAACGGAGGCTTTTTCTTCGCAGGATTTTGACCGTTTCACTCCGTTCTTTCGCCATTTCCCCACTATACAGCGCCCTACTAGCATTTTAGGCTAAGTAGGAAACCATCGTGCCAACTGCCTTTAAACATTGAGGTTCATATGCAGTGGACCCCCACTGTATCGGAATATCCTCTTAAAATGCTTGTTGGTACTTGAAAGGAAGTAGCAGACGCACTCTACCCGAAAAGGATTGAAAAATGCTCTTTCGTGTTCCGAATGAGCTTCAAGGCAGACAGCGCGCCACCCCAAACCCAGTGTTATGGAGTTATGGTCCGCTGTTCGTTCGAAAGGTAGTAAAACTTACAAACACCGGTTTTGCACGATACCTAAGCGCAGGCCAAGCCTTGAGGCGGCGTTCATACTTTCCCGCAGAGCCTATCAGCGTCTACCAGCGTCCATTAGTGACTAGGAAAGTATGCATATCAATCTAGTCAACGACAGCGGCGGAGCGGGGAGTATGGGTATGTAGGAGGGAGCAGATTGCTGGGTTGGGCGTCGTGACATTGCGGCGCGTGCAACCGCGCCGTGCTACCACATAGTACTGCACATTAAAATGCATAATTCTGTGCTTTTGCAGTTTATGCGCGGCACAGTTATGGAGCCCCACAACTCTAGGGCCACGGGCACTATTCAATTACCACTCCCCAATCTTCCGTAAACAGGCAAGTTTTTTTATCGATTTTTTTCTGCGGCGAAATGTTTGGCGTAAGTAGTGGAGGGGTAGTTCGACCTCCTTAACACGAATATCACATCAGCTTGGCCTGATAACGCCTGGCGCCCGTGCCACAGGTACCGGCTCCAACATACACTAGATCACCGAATCAGCTGAAAACTTGTATTAGGGGGTAATTTGACATTCTGAGTATAAACGTGGCATTCATTCCTGGTGCTGGACACTACGATCATCTGCGCATTGCTAAGACTGAGCTCGAAAGGATTAGTGTCCATCAAGCCAGGCTGAGCCTGGCTCGAAGGGAACACTAATCCTCTCGGGCTCAGCCTTAGCAGAG